TGTGAACGGGGCATCCTTACAGAGCAGTTTCAGAGACAGTGTTAAGGTCTTGACTCTAAAACACCAACTGAAAATATGAAGAGGTATAATTGCTATTTCATCAACTTTGAAAGCAATGAGATTGCAGAAAGGGAAACAATGATTAGGAAAGTTGACTAACGCAAAGGTATTCTTCTGGGAAAGCAGAACAGATAGTGTTAGTGGTAAAAAGATCCCCGGATGTGAAAAGCCCAAGTGGAGCACAAGATACCCACTAAGGTTGTAGTAAGTATACAGACAACTACTCAAACATTGCATCTAAGGTCTGGTGTCAACTCTTTAAAAGTAGTCAAGGGAAAATGGAGTCTTAGAGAAGACGCATGGAAATGGTCAACTGATTAAGTTAAATACATTTTTACTCAGAGGCTGGACTGACCATAGTGAGTACATACCTTCCATGGGGGAAAAGCAGATAGAAACTGTTGGCACTTCTTATCATCCCACTATGATATAATATAATATCCAACTACTAGTACACAGACTAGATTAAGGCTAGAAGTATGAAATATTTCACTAATTTAACTTTTGCTACAGTGTATTGGACTTCCCACCAGTGCAATGAAAACCAGCAACAATACAGTTTCATATCTTTCGAAAAATATGGGCTACAAGTAAACCTTGTTCTTAGATTTGATGCGGAAATTAATTCAGGGAATAGACTGTGGCCTGTAATACATGAAAAGACAGATACCATCTTAAGAGGTGTGTCTAAGACAGAGGTGATACATTTATCTCCATTGATTTTAGAGGTAGTCTGGGTAGATAGCTAGACTAAATGCTTTTTCCAGGTGGCTGAAGTTACATGAAATAAATCCCATCTGAAATTCTTATTTATTTCCCCAAAGGTCTGAGGAAAACCAAAGAAAACAGATGACATGCAACTCCTAAATCTGAAGTTAAATAAAAAGTCTCCATCTTTTTATTGAGTGAGATATTTTTACATCATGGCATATGGTGGCTCCTTTCCTCTATTAATGAAGAAGCTGGTGTACGGTCCACCTATAGCAAGTTCTTACTGAGCCACCGTCAAGCCAACAGACTTCAGGGCACACAGCTCCACCAACACAGTGTTTGCCAGGAATTTTTGTAGTCTCTAAACCAATATTTTCCATAATGTACAACAGTGCCATTACATCCTTAGCAAAAACACTAGGCAGCACCAACATCACCTCTCTCTTGTTCTCTCCAGGTCCTGTATTCAATAATATGGGAAAAGTGCAATGAAAAGTTTTCATTGCTTAGGATCTGCCAGAGAATTGCTAATATTCTTTTCCTACACAATTTAATATTTCCTTATTTGTTTGTTTAGTTTAAACTACATTGCCTCACTTACTGTTAACTTAGTTCCTTTAATATTAATTATCAGTCTTGACTACACATTACATGAAGGTCTTCTGTGCTGTGGCGCGTGTGTTTCTTCCAGGGCAGGCACTTTCCCAAATGATAAACCTTCTCATATCCGTGTCCTTAAACTCAAAATGATACTATTGGACAACAATGCACAGACAGAACACTTTCCTTTTCCTCATCTCTTATGGCTGTTAGGGGGATATCTGCCCTGAAGTAGATTCCAGTCTGCTTAACTGTGGAATTCTTATTTTCAGCACCACAATACTATTTTAATAAGGTTACAAAACTGTCCTGACCTCTGTCTTTGCCCTGTTCCCTGTTTCCACAGCTATTTCACTCACCTGATTGCCTGCTTATAATATATCTTGGCTGAACCACTAACAGGAAAGAGGGATTAAACAAACCCCAACCTCAGGGACAAGAAGAAGGATTTAAAATGCTGCAACTAGCTCAGGAATTCAAAATACAGAGATCAGACTCCCAGTTTCAAATATATTCACTCAGTAATTTGCTTTTTAACATTGCACCTTCTTGTTGCCATACCCTATTGCAACTTAATCACTATAAACACTATTACAGCAAAGATAGCAGCATGGACAGACGTGCAGATGTGTGCTCAAGGCCAGATTCCCTTCTCAACTACCATTGGCTTTCACCCACTATAAACCCAGCAATTCCAGTTTCAGTAACGTTTCCACGCTCCAGCAAAGATATACTATCTTTTTTTCCCTTAGCTCTGTAAGGCCATATGCACACCAAGACCTGTTTTTGAAGAGCTATAGTCTTACTTCTCCCATCATTTTTGATCCAGCATTTTTTGTTGTTATGGCAATATAAGAAGAAGAAAGAAAAATAATACCATGGTTGAATTAGGCTGGTTTTACATTTGTCTTTTTGGTATTTGTATATATAAATGAACAGTGGCATTTGTCTGGTTTAAATTAATTGTGGTGGCCCAGTCATGTAACACAGATCTGTTCTGTAGTGCAAGATGGAGAAATGAGAAGGAAATAAGTGCTGAGATTAAAGTAGAGAAAAAGGCTTTTTTCCACTCCCTAACCTACTCCCTAGAACTTCTACTTTTCTGCTGTGTTTATCCATCATACAAATGATGAAGTTTTTGGTGAAATGGTCAATTTTGTAACTTGCAGAATATTAAAAACATTACCACAGCTCAAGAGAGCTTAATACGCATCATGGCATTTCCCCAAATGCTTAAGGTCATAAAAGTAGAACTATGGTTTTACTCCAGACTACAGCAATGTAAGAGGTATCTTAGTTTTCTCATTTTTTCATATTAACTTTAGAAAATAGATTCCTTTACAGGACTACACATCTTGAATTTGTCTTTACTGCAACATTTTTTTACTTTACAAATGTCTTCTAAGAGTGAAAGCAGACTTCTGAATTATTCAAATAACTTTAAAAAAATCTATGCAAAGATGCAGTGAAAATCACTATGTAAAGATCAACTGAGAAATGTTTTCCTTTTAGGCATTTTCAAAAGATCCTTCATTCATATGAAAAAATAATAATAATAATAATAAAGCAACCACCTTTTCAAATAAAACAAAGTTCCAAAGGAATGAAATACATAACAGAAATAATGAGAGCAATCCTCTTTTCTCACAGAGAAACTTCTGTTTTCTTTTAGATTGAGCAAGCCCAGATTTGATGTGTTCATCCAAAGCCACCCATATCACAGCACTCCCAGAGGACACCAGAGTGTCTGCCTTGCTGTTCTCCCCACAGAGAAGAGCCACTCACATGTCATGGTGGCCAGGTCTGGAAACCAGCAAGGATACCACCACGTACCTGGAGAAGCAAGCTTTACAGAAGGGCTGCCTGTACCTGAGTTTTCAATTACAGAAAACACCTGGAGGAATGACATTAAGGGCTGCCCGTACCTGAGTTTTCAATTACAGAAAACACCTGGAGGAATGATGTTAACAAGCTATGTTAAATAAAGCAAAGAGTAGTTAAAGGCTCCCTTGACTTGTGAAACATTTCCATACATCTTTTAGGGAGAAACATATAGAAAAATTGTCTCCTACCTACACATCAGCTGCAATTTAAGTCCCTGCAATTCCCTGCATGGCTGAAATACCTCAATCAGCATCACCTAACAGAATTTGACTCTGTGCTCTCCAGCTGAGGCAATGAATACAATGCCATGGAGCATTCCTAAACTTCAGGGTAAGAGTTTAGTGTCCTCGCTCCCTGGCAAACGCTGCATGTGATAGTTATTGCTGAGCATCCTCTGAGGTATTACAGTCCTGCTCCCTAAAAGTAAAGCTGTAGTCCCATAGCCTTTTTACACAGTTATACTCAACATGGTCTTATTTTATTGTTTCAAGGATAAAGATTGTTCAAGGCAGCTGACACTACACTTAAATTATTCATTCACTGGTATTATTTATTCATTAGCTCTTGAAGTTATCTTGCTTCACTGAAGTACCTGGTTTCTATTACTCAGAAAAAACATGCCATTTTCTTTGTTTTAATTGAGATTTTGTGACTTGCGAGCAACTGATTGCATAGCACTAATACCCCACCATGCATATTGCCAAGCATTTGAATATAAATGTCACTTCTGCACTTGGGTATCCCTTTGGAAAGCACCTGCTGCCAGGTCCTGAATGAGACCCTGAGGTCTGGGAAGCTCTGAATTGCTGGGTGATTATGGGGGGCTCTGGGGCCCCTTCCCTGGGTCACAGTCCTTATTCAGTGCCATGCAGGAAGGGTATTCTCTCTGATGGTTATTTGGATATATGAGAGATACTTCTCATCTAAACTGCTGCCAGAGTAACAATATTTTTTATTTTTTTTCCATTTGAAACAGCTCTTTGATCTGGAATTGTAAATCCAGCAGCCTGAGTTCCTTGCATGTTACATTATAAGGGGGAATGCTGGATAGCCTTTAGAGCTTATAGCTACAATTTCTTCCTCCAACCACAGCCAACCAGCAGAAGCAGCACTGAAAGAACAGGGAAGTCGTGTTTGTCAGTGCACAACGCTAGGAATGGCAAAACTTTACAAGTTTTGTGAGACCCACTCTCCAGAATGAAAGTATATTTTTGGAGTATACCATTTTATTGCATTTTTTACATTCCATTATTAAATTCTACTTCTGATATTCAACATCTTAGAAAAACAAAATAAAATTCTGGCTCCCCAGCTGTGAATGGAAATATTTCTGATCACAATTGCCATCTTCCACATCTCTGTTTCTCCCTATGAATTAACAATGTAAAATTGGCAATCACATCCTTATTCGTATTAGAAAGGGAAGCACGAAGGCCAATCATTGTTTCTCCAAAGCTCTTAAATTTTGAGTTTTTCATTATAAGCATATCTAGATCTGCAGTGTCATAATTGAGGCTTTCTTATTTATGGAAGTAAAGGGTATGACACCTTCCTGCAAAGAAGACCCCAGTATCCCTGAGATACTTTCAAGAGGAAAGATAAACTACAATACAGGGGCAATCCTGCTCCCCAGGTTTGTAAAGATGCCACACTGAAAAGCCCCTACTTACTACAGTGGTTTTTGTACCATATGACTTAGCCTTAACATTTCCAGCATCAAAAAAGGTCTGCAAGTCTTAACTCACCAGTTCAGACATTTCTCTCACAGTTAAAAGTTGGCTTGTGATGAAGGCTTCAGTCTGGGAATAATCTTTACCCACTTGAAGGGGGAAAAAAAACAAACATCTTACTACTAGGCACTGTCATTATGGTGATATAAATTGCATTTTATCAGTTTCAGCTGTTTTTTTCCTGGCCTGTACATAAAAATCTCTTTTTAAACAGAAGTCCTTCAAGGTTTACTAGCCAAATTTTGCTATCAGTTACACATGCAGCCCTATTAATGTTAATGAGATGGCTGAATTTAAGCAAGGGTAGAATTTGATCTTTACCCTATTATGTTGTAGGCTGTCTACATATTTGTCTGTTTTAACTTAAAATCTATTTAGCAATTTTTTCTTTTATAATGAGGAAGTCTTACAAACCCATATCACAAAATGCCGAAGGTATAACAGCAGCAGGTCAGAATTGTATCTTCTCTCTGAAAACGGCCACTGCTGGGTGTTTCCTAGAAAGAACACAAAGCCTTGAAGTGAGCTATTATAAAATAGTTTGCCTGGAGAAAAATATTCCTGACCTGACTCTCTTCTGGTTTATGCTCTGAAGCATGAGTTTTTTCATTTCTTCCAGACTTTTTTTTAAAGGCCCTTATAATCAAATCTCTGAATGACAGTCAAATTTTGCAGCCACAAAGAGACATGTGCAGTGTGTGCACAACACTTTCCATTAATACACAATTACTGGATATATTTACAAGCCATTTACTTTGTTAAGATTGCAATTCATTCTACAGTGGTTCAAAAGCAAACCTTCCTTTTCGGATCATCTCCCATTACAACCCCAGCCACAGTTTTTTAATCATTTCTAATTTAAGAAAAATTAACACTCAATTACAATGAGTTTGAACTCAATGAGAACTGCAGCCATGAGGACCTTTCTCTTTCTTTTCTCTTTCTGCCTGTCTCTGCCTTTCTCTCACCCACATGTTGCTGAAAGAATATCCATGCTGAACAATCAAGTGTTCAGACCTTGAGAACTGTGGATGGTCTTAACTCGGTACCCCACTACTTGCTTTGATACAACGTTTATTTGCCTGATTATTTTTAACAGGCTTTTCCTTATTTAATTCACAGCAGGCTCTGAGGAAGAATCAAGATTAGATTTTTTTTTTTAAAAAAAGAATCGTCTGTGATAATTCTAGAGGATAGAGAAGAGGAGGCTCAGGGAGGATCTCGTCAGTGTATATAAATTCTTGAAGGGAAGATGCAATGAGGAGGGAATCAGGCTCTTTTTTGGTAGCTCTTAGTGCCCAGGCAAGAGACAGTGGGCACAAACTGGAAGAGGAGAGGTTTTGTATGAACACCAGGAAGCACTTCTTTGTTGTATGGATAATTGAGCCAGCACAGGCTGCCCAAAGAGGTCATGGGGTCTCCTCCTTGGAGACTGCCTGGATATGGGCCTGGGCACTTTGCTTCTGGTGGCCCTGCTGGAGCAGGGGTTGGACCTGATGACCTCCAGAAAGCCCTTCCAACTTCAACTATCCTGTGATTCTGTGGAAATATGCAATCTGTATAAGTGTATAATAATAACAGTATATAAATATATATAATATCTGTGGTATCTACCAATCTCAATTGTTCCCATGCTATGGCTCCTAATCTATTAGCAGAGATATCACTGTCCCCACGAGGGGGTTGTGGCAATTAACTAACATTTCTAAAGCACTCAGATATTTTAGAGATATACACTGCTGAATAACGAATGAAACAAATTAATAATGACGTCTTCAGGGTCCGGTCTGAAAAGCATGCAATGAGTGAGACTCTCAGATATACACTGAGCAATGTGGATAAAATATTGTCGGAAGAGCTCATATTCTGTGCACTAATCAGAGGGAAAATATTACGGGATTGTAGGATTTCACCCTGTGTCATGTCACACGTACAGAAGCAGGAAAAGCAAAGGCTACTTTAGTTATATTATCCCCCAGGTTGGAAGCATCTGATTTTGCAGCTGTAATGTTTTCAATATAATTTTTGGTTTAATAAACTGGATCAGTGGTACACAAGGGGTCCCATGAGCAGAAATATTTATGAAGTATAGCTTCCTCCCTTCTCCAGCATGGATTTCTCACTTTGTCACAGATGATGCAGTTTTTTTCCTTACTAATTTAGGCATACCTTATCTACACAACTGCCTGCTTTTATGAAACATATAAGAAATTAATAACATTATGACCCCAACACTCACTAGCTAAAATTGACCAGCAAATTTGAAAGCTATCAGGGAAGGACAGAGGCCTGTACAGACGAAGCAATTCTGTGTCTGGTTTCCTTAGGAATGGGTTTATAAATCCCAGTTGTGTGGCATCAGAACTGCTTGGCATGTTCTCGTTTCTCCCACCATGTCAGGTCTTTCCCCCTCTTGCCACAACCCTTTATTGCTCACTCTGTCCCCAAAGATACCACTAGCCCAGCTGGTGCCACTTCCTAACTCTGTTGTTCCCACCTAAGACCAGTTCTTTACCTGCATTTGGCCTCACCATTTTTGCCTGATCTTTACTTTCTGGCCCCAGTCAGGGCCTTTGGGACCTGGGCGTGTGAAGCTGAAACTCAGAGCACAATGCCTAGCAGGCCGCATTGTCAGAAATGTACTGCACTGCCTCCTGCTACAAGAATTTGGAAAGCTTGCCCACCTTGGATAGCAAGGATAAGACAGCATCTGCTCTTTTAAAAGAGTGTTTCATAAACCTGTTCCAAAAAGGCCTGATAACAAATGGGGAGGAAGTGCAAAGGGAAGATAAATCGGGTCAGACTGCTGGCACATCCTCCAGCTGCCTGCTCCTGCTTAGCTTCCTGGAGAAATGGCAAAGCAAATTTTAACACCTTGAGCTTTTCAGAAGTTGTATCAGAGACCATGTTTCAAGATACTACAACAGGAAAACTTAAGTTTTATGACAGGAATAACAGGAATATGACAGGAAGGAAAGAGTGACCAGGTATAGCACTGGGACAACTCACACAGGGTATGCTGTTTTATAACTCTGTGGTCAAAACTGCAACTGCAGACCCTTAACTCTTGCATCCTGAAGATACTAAACCTGAGTTTCTATATGGAGAAAGAAAAAAAAAAAAAAAAAAAAGAAGAAGAAGAAGAAACTTGGCTTCAGTTTATGGACATAAACAATGTCATGTCTTCATTTCTTGGAAGTAAACATTTTAAGCCGTGATACTGCCACTAACAAAAGAAGTTTGTCAAACAAACTCCACAGTAACATTATTTTTTTAGTTTACAAATATGTGAGAGGTGAACCCAACATAAATCTGGGAGAAGGTTGATGATTGCAAGCATACTCTCTAGAGCCTTTGGGACAAGCAAATGAAGCAAAGTTCAGAGTAGGATTTTATACATATCTGTGTACATATATATGTCATATTTATAAACACAGACAAAAAGAATTTACTCAATGATTGGTAAAAGAAGCTTGAATTTTACTATATTTTGCCATACAAGTTGCAAAAACTTCCTGGTACTATTTCCCCAGAGCAAATGCCTTCTGTCTATCAATCAGGTGGTGTCAGATCAAACTGTTGACAATCACTTCCTGATTCTGTTCACAGCCTAAGAACCTGGAAAAGTTATTAAGGTTTTAGCATGTTGCTGAGGCAGAGCGTGGCCTCCATCCTGCAGCAGAGAGGACTTGTGAGCACTCAGCACTGGGTATAACACTGGGACAACTCACACTGGGGCCTGAGCATACAAACCTGCATGACAGGGCTGGCTTGGCCATGCTGCAGCCAAAGAAGCAGTCTGTGGTCAAATATGAGCATTATATGAGGAGTAAGAACATCTTCACGACCTCCAGCCCAATGCATTGGTAGAAAATAAACATAGTATAAAGCCCTCAAAAGTGAATGCGGTGTTTGGTTCTGATTGATATTTAACCCAAAGCACAAACACCTCTGTGCTGCTGTGAATTTTCTGTACATAGAAATTCACAACTTGAAAAGGGCAGAAGTTATCATGCCATCAGATGCTCATCACATTTATATTCATTTTAGCAAATCCAGGACTGGGCCACAGACTCCTTACATATTTTATGATTTACCAGAATCTGCTTTAGTCTAAGAGACCTAATTCCTACATTACACATATCACCCATCTTTCTGGCAGTGTAATTTACATCTCAAACTGGAATAATTTTGCATACTTTTCATTTTAGCATTCTGACATCTTAAAAAAAAATAAAAGAAAAAGAAAAAAAAAAAAAAGCCTTAATTCTGGGAAGTAAATTATCATCAACCTTGGAAAAAAGTCCTGGAAGTTATTAATGCTCTTTTTATGCATAGTTGTCTGTACAGTTTTGGTGCCTTTCTCCTCTCAGCTTTTTTTAGTGATATATTAACAAGAGTGTTGTAGAGAATATGAAATTCAAAACAGGACCAACATCACAAGGTTTATACGAACATATAACACATGACATGTAACTTAAGCGTGTTCCCAAGGGAATCATGCAACCTTTATTTACTCTTGGAATTTCTTCCAAGGACAAGTTTCCAATCTTTCTCTGTTCAAAGAATGTGTCCTTTATTGTTCAGGTCATTTGCTGGACTGACATACATTAGTGCTAAACAACCTAAAAAGCTCAAAAAACATACCCCACAACATACTGTTAAGCAGGGACTTTGGGCCATATCTGTGCTTCTGATTTTCTCTATTTCTAATTTCACATAAAGAGGAACTTTATTTAAAATTTATTCTGAACAGTTATCATCATGTAAATACTGGTGGTGTTACTGAGATGTTACTCTAAAACCTCAGCGATGGCTTGTTTATTCCTTGTTAATGCTGTCAGAGATGAATGCACTGGAAGCACTTAATCAACAACAGCAACAAAGTTCTGGTGTGCTCAAGCTGAAATAAAACACAGAGGATGTCAATATACACAAGACAGCAAATTTTCAACATTTTTGAAGGTGTTTGTGTTTTGAAACATTTTAAAATAAATCCCCTTTTTCTCTTCTACAGGAAAACAGTCCGATAATTTTAAGTCCAAACTTTATGAGAACTTCATATTGTGTGTTTTCTCAGTATTTCTGTATGAATTAAATATATCTCTATATTATGTAGAAATCATTAAAAAAAAATCCAGATTATATATTCTTTCAGAAAGATATAGTTGCTGTATATACACAGAGGAGGAAAAGTTAAATTAAAAATGGAACAGCATTTAGCAGTAGAAATCAAACTCATGCTGTTCTGACCCTTGTTCATGTCCTCATATGCCTGAGAGTCCAGTGCAGGAGCTGGCATCAGGAAATTCCTGGAAAGGTAACAGTGGAGATCTGACTTCTGGCTGGGCCTTGCCACAGCCAAGTCTCCCCCATCCCATCAGCAATCATCCTTTCCCAAAAGACAGGCCATGTAATGATGGGCTGTGATTTCAGTACTGGCATGCCTATATACTGGGTTGCCCTATATACCTTTGTGCTGGTACAGGGGAAAGGG